TGGCTTGGAAAAAAAAATGGCCAAAAAAATGGGCCAGAATGAACTTTTTCAGAACTCTAGAAATGTAACCAAAGTCTTGCAGCAACTCAAGGAGCATTTATTCAAGAATAATTTCTGTAAGAACAGTGAGATTTGTGTTAACTTACCTTAGACCATTCCTCACTCTCTAGCTCAATAGTTGCCTTGGAAAATAGCCCACATCCCCAACCAGCGCAAGCAGAATGGGGCTGGATCTCCTTCAAAGCCTTATTCTCAGTGAACTGTCATTATGTCATCTGTCTGGTAGTTCCCTCAAAGACCTCATTTGAAAGGTTTGTCTTTATTTGACCAGAATGAAAACTGTCTAGTGCAAAGCCTCTCCACAGAGAGTGTTTTTGGAAAACAATTACGGACAAGTGTTTTAACATGGCAACTGTATGAGGCAATGGATAATAGTTGGGGGTAAAAATCCTAATAAAAAAGCTTAATAGGAAATGCTGAGGAATAAGATACCCACAGGAATTCTGAAACACTCTGATATATCCTTGGGAAACCAGAAGACCATAAGACATATTCCTGGGAATCTGGAATGTCAAGCACATGCATAGGGCAGGCTGTGAGCATGGTCAGGAAAGACCTGCTAAGTCCAGAAACTCTCACACCTGGCTGATCTTGAGGTTCTGTACTAGCAAGAAGTGAAAGCTAAGGTATAGCTGTAAACTGTCTGGCTGAGTGCTGAAGGTGTGCCCCAACATGTACACAGACCCCTTGGCAAAAACTAGGAAAGACTTATCGGTTCCAATAATTTAAGTAAATCTCCATTTAATCATTAGCTGATCAGTAAGCTAACCAAGGAGAGACTTCAGTGGGCACACATGACAAATAATGTAAGACTTCACAGAATAAGTTTAAAAAAGGAACTAAATAATAAATAGCAACTACTCTAACAAGCAGCAGTAACACCAAATCCCGGGAGCATGGATCTGATTTTCAGAATTGCCACATTATATTATTTAAAATATTCAATTTTCAACAAAAAATTATGAAAGATGCAAGAAAACAAAGTATGGCCCATATACAGGGAGAAAAAAGAGAAAGAAACAGAAATTGTCCCTGAGAAAGCCCAGATGTTAGACTTACTAGACAAAGATTTTTATTTTTTTTATTTTTTTGGTAGAGGTGGGGTCTTGCTAAGCTGCCCAAGCTGGTCTTGAACTCCTGGCCTCAGCCTCAGCCTCAGCCTCCCAAAGTGCTGGGATTATAGGTACGAACCACCATGCCTGGCCTACTAGACAAAGATGTAATTCAGCTACTTAAAATAGGTTCAAAGAGATAGAGAGAAACCATTCAGTTCTGTAGACTAGAGAACTAGAGGAAAGTATGAAAGCAATGTCCCATCAAACAGAGGATATCAGTAATGAGATAGAAACCACAAAAACGAGCCAAATAGAAACTCTATAGTTGAAAAGTATGGTAACTTGAATAGAAAAATCACTAGAGGTTCTCGATGGCAGATTAGAGTAGGCAGAAGAAATAATTGGGAACTTGAAGGTCAATTGAGATTATCAAGTCTGAGGAAAAGAAATAAAAAAGAATGAATGCAAATGAATAGAATCTCAAAGACCTGTTTGTGGAACACAGCATCAAGCTTACTAACATACATATAATAAGAGTCCCAGAAGAAGAAAAATAGAATATTTGAAGAAATAATGGCCCCAAACTTCCCAAACATGATGAAAAACAATCTGCATATTCAAGAAGCTCAAGGAACTACACAGAGGAAAACTTCAGGGATCCACATTTAAACATATTAAATCAAACTGACAGAAGCCAAAGACAGAACTATCTTGAAAGCAGCAAGAGAAAAGCAACTTATCACATACAAGGGATCCTCAATAAGATAATAGCTGATTTCTCACCAAAAACAATGGAGGTGCTGGGCACCATTGCTCACACCTATAACCCCAGCACTTTGGGAGGCTCAAGGCTCAAGAATTGCTTGAAGCCAGGAATTAGAAACCAGCACTGGCAATGTAGTGAAACCCCATCTCTACAAAAAAAATTAAAAATAGCTGGGCATGGAGGTGCATGCCTGTACTACCAGCTACCCAGGTGGCTGAGAAGAGAGGATTGCTTGAGCCTGGGAGGTGGAGGCTTCAGTGAGGTAAGTGGCTGCACCACTGCACTCCAGCCTGCATAACAGAGCAAGACCCTGTCTAAAAACAAAACAAAACAACCACACACAACAGTGGAGGACAAAAGGCAATGAAATGGCATATTCAAAGTGCTGAAGAAACTATCAACCAAGAATTCTATACCTGGCAAAACTACCTTTGAAAATGAAGAGAAATTAAGATGTTCTAGATAAATAAAAACTGAGAGACTTTGTTGCTAGAAGACCCACCCTCTGAGAAATACTAACATGAATCTGCACAAAGAAATAAAAAGCACTGGCTGGGCACAGTGGCTCAGGCCTGTAATCCCAGCACTTTGGGAAGCTGAGGCTGGAGGATCACTTGAGGTCAGGAGTTTAAGACCAGCCTGGCCAGCATGATAAAATGCTGCCTCTACTAAAAATACAAACACTAGCTGGGCATGGTGTTGTGTGCCTGCAGTCCCAACTACTCAGGAGGCTAAGGCACTAGAATCACTTGAACCTGGGAGGTGGAGGTTGCAGTGACTGTGCCCCTGCACTCCAGCCTGGGCAACAGAGGGAGACTCTGTCTCAAAAAAAAAGGAAAGAAAAAGATAATTGCATAATGCAATAATTATAAATCTAGGTGATGAACATAAAATGTATAAAGATGTAACGTGTGACAATAACAGTATAAAGGAGGGGGTGAGAGTGGAGCTTTAGAGAAGCAAAGTTTTTGTGTACTTTCAAAACAAAGTTGGTATTACTTTGGACTACAATGTTATATAATTAAGATGCAGCTGAGACCACAGGTGTACACCACTATACTCGACTAATTGTAAAAAGCTTTTTAGAGCTGGGATCTCACTATGTTGCCCAGGCTGGTCTCCAACTCCTGGCCTCAAGCAATCCTCCTTCCTTGGTCTCCCAAAGCACTGGGATTATAGGTACACACCACTGCAACTCACCACAAATATTTCGTTTTTTTAGTTTTCATTTTTCGAGACAGAGTTTCACTGTTTCCCAGGCTGGAGTGCAGTGGCACAATCATGGCTCACTGCAGCCTCAACCTCCCAGGCTCAAGTGATCATCCTGCCTTAGCCACCTGAGTAACTGTGACTATAGGCGTGTGCCACCACATTCAGCTAACTTTTAAATTTTTTTGTAGGGATGAGGTCTCAGTATGTTGCCCAGGCTGGCAATCCTCCCACCAAGCAATCCTCCCACCGCAGCCTCCCAAAGTGCTAGGATTACAGGCATGAGCCACTGCACTCAGCCCACAGATATTTCAAAAATCTCAAGTCAGGCACCTAAGATTCCACTGGAGGTAACTAGGAAAAAAAAAAAAA